AACCCCTACACAAGAGTTTACATGACTAGTAATGTTTTTCCATGAACCACTTATTTTACTCATTTAGTTAGTGCTTGGTTATACCTAGCTGGCGACAGTATGTTTTGGTAATTTGTCACAAAAATTTCTACGCAATTGATTTACAAAGTTGCAAGTTTTCCAAAGTTTCGGTATATGGTGCTGTCGTTGCACGGTAAGTAAAAATTTGCTTATTCAAAAATGTATAACAAATTAACTTTTTCTTTTTTGGTTTCATATATACGATATATTCGATTGTTTTATGCTTGGTGAATTTGTTTTTATGTTGTAATATTACATGTGGGACATTGGGCATATAATATACTATAAATTTCCTGCAGAGGATTTTCTCTGCATAAATCTTTGGCTGCTTTAGAGGATGATCTCTCCGAGCTTTGCCGCTTCTTCACTGCAAGGAGCCTAACCCTCTCCCCTACAAAATCCTCAGCAAGACTTTTCACCACCTGGACGAACGAGGTCGGGGTATTCACGTCGATGACGAAAATCCTCAGAGAAAATAAAGTACAAAGCCGCAACAAGGTCCTCACGTCGCCAGCCGGCAATTGTGTGGTCGCCAGGGACGGAATGACTCGGGTTTTACCCGACCAAGTGCTGTTGTTTCGGCGATCTAACCCCGTTTAGGTCGGCGAAGTATCTCAGAAGTTGTCCGTCTATAGGGCTACATTCACTACGTATTCTTCTACTCAGGGCTGGCATCGAGTCAAACCCAGGGCCAGAAAATTACACCTGCTGTGTATGCCGGAGACGATTACACCACAACTCCACCTCAGTCAAGTGTAATGCCTGCGAGGGGTGGAGTCACCTCAGAGTCTGCTCGGGACTACGGACACATAGACAGTGGACCACGTCGTACGTGGCCCCCTGTTGCTCAAACAGAGCAGCCTCCATGGCTAACCACAGTCCGCCCGAGCAGCCTTACACAGTCACCACAACACAACCACATAATAACACCACAGACCATACCACAGCCACGACAGACCACATAACACACACAACCGCACCACCACCCACACGCCGCCGCCAACAACTCCTGGTTCCCCCTACAATCTGCACGGTATGTCAGACCAGGATATTCCGTAATGTGGCATCAGTCAAGTGCAACACTTGCCTTGGCTGGTGCCACTTTAGGGCATGCTCAGGTCTGCGTACCACGCGAGATTGGACTGGGCCCGTGTTGCGCTGCTCGGTCGCCGACCCCAATTGCGACGCCCCCCGCCACCACCACAGGGCGGCAATCATCACAGCAGCGCGCACAGCCAACGGCGGCAAGAACACACACATCACTTACACCCCACATCACGACACGTCTCCCGAACCACATGAAGCTCCTTAAATTTAACTGCAACGGGCTACAGAGCAAGATTGAGGAGATAACCGTCTTCATGTGTCGGCATGGTATATTGATAGCTGCGGTCCAAGAGACGAAGTTGCACAGCAATTCAACTTTGTTGAATTGCGCCGGGTACAACGTGCACCGTCGAGATCGCGAGCGAGATAATGGTGGTGGCTTAGCGTTCATCACGCACCACACCGTGCAGTATCGTCTTATCGAAGCAGACATCGACCGCAGGGATACCACCCTAGAATGTCAGGGCATCGCTATCCGGTCAGGCGATGTCGAGCTCGAAATATTTAACATATACATACCCCCTGTCACCTGCTGCCCGGCAGGATATCACCCTGATATAGGTGCGCTCCTCAGAGGTGAAAACCGTATGGTAGTAGGTGACTTTAATGCGCACCACGATCTTTGGCATTCAAGCCTGTCAAACGATCGTAGGGGAACAGACTTGGCTGAGCAGATAGACGATTCGACATTCTGCACAATGAACGACGACGCACCCACCAGGATTATGGGTAACTGCAGTAGCTCGCCAGACATCACAATAGTCAGCGCTGGTCTGATAAACAGCATAACGTGGCGACCTATGCTGACTCTAGCATCAGACCATCTACCCATAGTCATCTCGATAGATAAACCAACCGACTTTGCCTCCGCCAAACACCGGACCTATATCAACTTTTCTAAAGCTGATTGGAAAGGTTACGCGGAGTTTACCGAAAACACCTTCACAGCGCTCCCCACACCAACCGACGTCCATCTCGGTGAACGTAAGTTCCGCAGGGCTGTCACTGCTGCTGCAGCTCGCTTCATACCGGCAGGATGTATATCGGACCCACGTCCAAACTTCCCTGCCGAAGCGGCTGTTCTAGCCGATGAGCGTGATAGCCTTCGTCAGGCCGATCCCGGAGATCCCCGTATCAGGGATCTCAACGCGGAGATTCGGCAACTTGTAAACGTACATAAGCGGAAGAAGTGGGAGGAGCATCTGAAGACTTGTAATTTCACCTCTGGTGTGAGCAAGCTTTGGTCAACCGTGAGGTCATTGTCTAATCCGACGAAGCACGACGACAGAGTCGAAATTTCCTTCGGCGACCATGCTTCGTCGGACCCGGAGCGATGCGCGAGCTATTTTAGCCGGCAGTTCATACTGCATCCTCCGGTGGACAAAGCCAAGCGTCGAGTGACCAGAAGGCTGCACAAACTGCCAACAACTTGTGCCCCCCTTGCTTTCACTTGCGGTGAAGTTCAGGTGGCCATCGGGAAGGCGAAAGCCTCCAAAGCCATGGGTCCCGACGGTATATGCATGCTGATGCTGAAAAATTTGGGTCCTGCGGGGGTAGCGTACCTAACGGAGGTCCTCAATTTGTCAATGGCCACTCTCATCATCCCAGACATCTGGAAGGTGGGGAGAGTGGTCCCACTGCTCAAACCGGGGAAACCTGCCAACAAAGGAGATTCTTATCGTCCGATAACACTCCTTTCCCCGGTAGCGAAGACACTCGAGGCCTTGCTACTCCCGTACTTCACAAACCACCTGACCCCAGCGAAGCATCAGCATGGTTTCCGTAAAGTGCACAGTACAACAACAGCACTTAACGCCATAAACACTCAGATAACTCGTGGCCTTAACCGTAACCGTCCCTGTGAGAGAACGATTCTAGTAGCGTTGGACTTGTCAAAGGCGTTTGACACCGTCTGCCATTCCACGCTACTAGAAGATATAGAGGCCTCCTCTCTCCCACAGAGGCTCAAACGGTGGTCGGCAAATTATCTGAGTGGTCGACATTCGTCGGTAATGTTTAGAGACAAAACGAGTAAGCAGCGAAAAATAAAACAGGGGGTTCCTCAGGGTGGTGTCCTTTCCCCGCTACTGTTTAACTTTTATATTTCAAAGCTCCCTCAACCACCAGAGGGAGTCTCGATTGTCTCTTATGCCGACGATTGCTCGATCATGGCGACTGGGAATGGAATTGATGACCTGTGTTCGAAAGTAAACGGCTATCTCTCCGAACTTTCTCGCTTCTTCACTGCAAAGTGTCTAGCCCTCTCCCCTACGAAATCCTCCGCGACCCTGTTCACAACCTGGACGAAGGAGGTCAGGCTACCGCTGGGGATTCACGTCGATGACACACCAATTCCGACGGTGAATAACCCCAAAATACTCGGAGTAACATTCGACAGCCTGCTCTCCTTCTCTGCGCACTCAACCGCTATTGTCAATAAAGTACAGAGCCGCAACAAGGTCCTCAAGTCGCTAGCCGGCAGTACTTGGGGCAAAGACAAAGAAACGTTGCTGGCAACATACAAGGCAATAGGCCGGCCGGTTTTGAACTACGCAGCGCCAGTGTGGTCGCCAGGGACTAGTAGGACGCAGTGGACGAAGCTACAGACTGTACAGAACACCGCACTCAGGACAGCGACAGGATGCCTCCTGATGTCGCCTGAACACCACCTGCACGGCGAGGCGCAAATGCTCCCTGTAAAGGAGCACAATATAATGCTCTGCAAGCAGTTCCTGATCGGGAGCCACAGAAGTGGCCACCCAAGCAGACAGCTGCTTGCAGAGGAGCCCTCGCCTAGGCACGTCAGGAGGCATCTATATGAACTGACGGACGAAGTCCAGAGGTTCATTAAGCAACCTCTGGACCCGACAGCGTACAGACAGGCCCTGAACGGCATTCACAGGGACTCAGTCTCGAGTTATGTAGACTCTAGACCTGTGAATGCCGTTCTAGGCATACCACCCCCGGACATAGACGAGACGGAGCTTCATCTGCCTCGGGAGACACGCACAACACTCGCACAACTTCGCTCCGGCTACTGCAGCAGGTTGAACTCCTACTTGAGTAGGTTGAATGAGGATGTGCCGAATGAGTGTCCGGCATGCGGAGAGACCCCACATGACTCGAAACATCTCTTCGCATGCCCGGAAAACCCGACAACCCTAACGGCCTTGTGCCTGTGGACAAACCCCACAGAAGCTGCACGCTTCCTAGGGTTGCCGTTAGTGGAACTTGACGACAACGACTGAGATACCAACCGTCCTGGGCGGGGTTGTTGTAGCCGCTACAACAACAACAGCAACAACAACAACCCGACAGCACACCGACAGGCCTTGAACGGCATTCACAGGGAATCAGTCTCGAGTTATATATACTCTAGACTTGTGAATGCCGTTCTGGGCACTCAACTACCAGACGTGGACGAGACAGAGCTGCGCCTGCCTCGCAGATGTGCTAAACGAGTGCCCGGCATCCGGAGAGACACCCCACGTCCGCTTCCTGGGTCTCCCATTGCCTTGGCCCGTTCAACGCATTTCTTGAAGGGCGGTGATGTCAGCTTTCGTCCTTAAGAGGACATCAACCAGCCGGTCAGAGGCACAACAACAAAAACAACAGGCACATTCCAGGTACATGTCCACATGGGTTTCTCACGTTGCCTAGTATACGAATGAGGTCGCAAGAGTCGGGTATGAATATAGCTGTGCAACAACAACAACAACAAAAACAACAACAACAAATATACTCCATTGCACTCCATTATTAGATTATTGGTAATATAGAAAGATCTATGTTATACCTAAAATTAGTTAGAGAACTAAGAAAAAACAACAAAGGACATTTTTCGTATGCTATATTTTATTTCTAAATAAAGGATTCACTTAAAATTCTAATATTTAATTCATCATTGAACGATGCGGATATTAACGGGCATCGAAAACAACCACTGAAAGAAAAATATATAAAATTAAATTTAGAGTGATATCGTTGAATTGATTTTAAATAAAGATTAAATTAATTATTTGCAAACAGTCTGATTTCCGTATAAATCTAAACTTTTATATAACTTTGTCTACGCGAAACACGGTACCAATACAAGTTTGTGTGTACCTGCACTTCAGTAAAAGGTGGCTTCGCAGAGAGTTCACTCACATATCGTCCCCGTATGCCAAAATCATGAATGTGTAAACAAAAGATTTTTTAACGAGACTTAACTCAACATTCTTGTAACTGACATTGTAGGGTATGTGGTTTCCGTGTACGCATGGTATTCTGGGTCTTGGTATAACATGAACATCCAAAGGTTAATCAAGTCAACCCAATAAATTGCAAATTTATAAATTTGCACAGTCATGCTTTTGGCATAACGGTGACGATATGGCTATTAACTTTGTGAATTGTTAATTTCGAGTAGACTCTCTATTATGAAAAAAGTCGTAAGTGCTTAGAAATTACCCACTTTCGATTTGTACGAAAACAACATTTACGCTCTACTATTATAATTAAGGTTTGCATATTTGATAATACATATTTTTAAGGAAATAAATGGTATACTTACAGCGCTTTGTACGCTTCTTGTACATGATGCGGTAGCCACATTCACGACAACGTATGGGATCACGCGGACGCATCTCGTTTTCATGATGACACTCTGTATGCGATAAGATAAAAGAGGAGTAATGCAATAATTTTTATAAAAAAATTTTGGAAATCTGTATAAAGAACATTTCGTTTATTTGCATTCGCGTTCGATGCATATTTTAATGCAGTTAAGCAAAAGATACAGATATACGGAAAATCAAAAACTTTTTTGGTACTTGTAGCTAACTTTTTATAGATTCTTTCTGATTTGACCACTCTCATGGGTCTGTCAATCAGATACTGGAAAGCGTATGAAGCACTGCTAATCTGAAACGCAGCTACACCATATTCAGCGAAAGAACGATGCTGCTGCCGTATGCGTATATCAACACTGTCGGACTAAACGATCGACCCGCTGTTGTGCATGGAAAAGCGCTCAAAATGGAAATACACCTATCTATCATTGGTAGAAATTCGTTTTCTTCATTAAATAAATCTACAATTTCAACATATTTCAAATCTTCTTCGGACAAGTTCTTTTTCCCTTTCTTACATACATAAATTGTACCGGAGAATGAGTTCACTGCCCATAACTAGATCATAAATCTGTTGAAAATGCTTCGCGCTTTTGTACCTTTTCTCTGGAACATTTAAGCTCTAACCAGAATTACTGCGGTGAACGGTGAAGCGGTTGCCGGTAAGTGAACATCTGAACAGTTGACGCAGTGAAATCCGTCAGACTAAACACAAGTGCTGAAAATTATCATTCAAATTAAATATTTTTTTCGGTACATGCATGTACATATGTAGATTTTCTGGAAAAAAAGTATGAAAACATTGGCAACTTGTGCAAATAAGAAAAATTACTACAATCAACATTGTGCCGTCCACGATGGTCAGCAAAAATATAAATACATTTAAATCAACCGAAAAACGTCGGTTTTAAAAACGCTGCCATATGCCTTTGAGTTTTAATTTTCACAGCGGTTAACCGTCGACCGCTTTGTCGTCGTCTGCTGCAATACTGGGTAGAGCTTTAATCGTATACAATGGGTGCAATCCAGACACCGAAACAGCTGGAGTATTTTCATTGTAAAAGCGTAGTTGTAAAGACGCCGTTAGTGAATCCAGATACGATTTTATTATAGGCCAGTACTCATTTTCATTGATCGATGGGGGCTACTTCTGTGTGTTTGTTTACCTGCCAACCGTTGTAGGGAAATTTCTACTCCTAGATCGGCTGTAATCATAGGAAATTTTTTAATTTACTCCATAGTGACTTTTTCTACTTTTGGGATCGTTCTTAACCATCGCCAAAATATTTTCAATATGCTGACTATGTAGTGGCGATGAGGTTTAGTTATTGTCTTCATTTGCAAAATGTGTTCTTCTGTAGGTTCCAGCAACGTTGAATATTTAGCAATTGTCATTAAAGCATAGATGAACATCCGCAAAGATGTTGCCTCTACAACAACAACAACATCCGCCTTGTTATAGCAGCAAGATTTTCTTGTGAAAGTACCCCTAAATTTACAACTTTTCTATAACTTCCACCACTTCTGGAAATTTTTTTGAAAATTTCCTAATAGCCTTATATTTTTTTCAACCATCTTGTTTCACATAAACGTGATATATTAGGAGCAAAATGTTTATCACATCTTTAGGATAGAAATAGTACATATTTCTTATTTCTGAAACCTCGTTTAAGACATTACGGGTCAGTTTTTCAGTGCACGGAAGTGGTTTAAACTCAGCTTAAATGCCCGATCTGGCTGGGCATGAATCACGTATGACGACAATCGTCTGGACGATATCGTGTTGAGATTGTCTTGCTTCAGGAAAACCAAAAATTGTTTGGTCGTTTGTGCGATATCGTCAACTCGATTTAAATTTTGCTTCATGTAACCCAGCAAAACAAATACAGTGTTTTTACGACATCGTTTAGTTAAATCATAAACAGACGGCAGCGTTGATCCGGATCAACTCGGGAATTAACTGCAGTTGATCCGGACTAAGTCCGAGTTAATCCGGATCAACGCTTCCGTCTGTTTAACCCTGGAAGTGCTTCGCTCTTTTGACCCTGTCTGCGGGCTTGTTAGTCGAAACGACTAACACCAACTTTGAATTGAAATAACCAACATAAAAGAGTTAAAAGCGAAAATACATTTTATGAATTTTAGCACAGTATACAGTAATCCAGATAGGCAAAACAAAAAATGTAAATATGCTTATTTGACAATTTATTTGAATGTATTGGTTGATATTTTTTCACAGTTGTCGTTTTCTTTAACCCAAATGAAATCCAATTTCAATATTTTCTTATAGTGGAAAATATTTTCAAGTCACATAAAATAAAACAACGAGAAAAACAAAATTCCTAGCAAATCAGGCTTGCAGCGTAAGCGATTATAACCGGATGCAGTTCCTACATAAGTCATATCTGGTTTCAAACACAACTTTGAGTGAATAATGGTGGGCTGATTTTGGAAAATGGACCCATAAATTAGGGGGTAAAACAATTATTACTTAGCTTAAAGGTAGAACTCTCTAATTTTCAAATATACCACTCTTATAGTGGAGACCTCCAAAGTTTTTATGAAATATGTACCCAAAGTTATATATCGACGCTCGAACTAATGCAGGAAAGGTTTATGCAGATAAGCAAGGCCGTTTTTTCAACGGTATAAAATGTATATACACATATTCTTACATACATATTTATCAAAATATTCAGAATGACGAAATGAATTGGTTCAGTCCTGTCTGTTTGTAAACACGCTAACTCGAAC